ATGTCCCGCCCCCGTGCTCTTGGCCAAGGCCGGCGAGGAGTCCTCGTCGCTCGGCGCGTAGCCGCTCGACGACGCCATCTTCACCTGGATGCGGCTGCTCATGCCCGTGTTCGCGCTCCCCCCATTCGCGCTGCTGGTACCGTTGGCACCGCCGCCGCCGCCGCCGCCGCTCGCTGTTGATGCCTTCCCGTTGACCAGCGGCGCTGATCCGGAAGCCGCCGCCGCCGCCGCCGCCGCCGCCGGCTTCTTGCGGTGCAAAGAGTTCGAGGCTATCTCTTGGAACAGCCGGAACTCGTCGCCGCCTTGCATCGGGGATAACGGTGCTGGTTCTGGGAAACGACCCCACGCATAAGAACGAGGGTCCAAATGGAGACGGGGAAAAGGGACAGGGTGGGTGAGAGACACGTGACAACAAGAACAAAATACAAGAGTGATGCTGGCGGTCCTGACCAATAAAAAAAGGCCGAACGCTGGGAACGGGGAGGGGCTGCCACAAACTACCGCCCGCGATCTCGGCCCCGTGTATCTAGCCCATCCCGCTTGTGTGGCAGAACACACGAGGGTATAACGTGTAGTTGTCTCCTTCAGCCACATCCCTCCCTCCAAACAACAGCCCCTGTCCTACCACCAAGCACCGCCCGACCACAGCCAGGCACCAGCAAAACACACGCTTCATACCTTGAGGAGGGAGATCCGTCTTCGGCTCCTCCCCCGACCCCCCCCAGGACTCCACCACCAAGAAGGGCAGCTCCCCCCACCTGTCGTCCAGGTCGCGGGCGGCAGAGTCGAAGCCGTGCAGATCCCGGTCGAACACCGGGAGCAGGCTCTGCGGCGGCGGGGGGAAGTGCATGAACATCCCCGGTCGGAGGACCGGCGACGGCTCCGCTGTCGACGCCCCGCTGAAGGTGAAGCTACTCGACGAACCCGTCGGGGAGCTAACGGCGCTCCCGCCGCCGCCGCCGCCGCCGCCGCCGCCTGAGGCTATCCTTGACAGCCACCCCTGCTGCTCCGCCCGCTGCGGCGTCGTCCCGTTGACCCAGGTCGACACCGTTCCCCACGGCGACGTGGTGGCGGCGGTCGACTGGCCCTTCGGGGTGACGGACGTAGACCACGAGGAGGGTATCGCCGCCGCCGCCGCGCCTGCGCTAGCGGCGGCGTCCATCGCGCCGGACGAGGAGCAGGAGGAGGGCCGCCGCTGCAGCAAGTTCCGCTGCTGCTGCTGCTGCTGCCGCTGTTGCTGCTGCTGGCTCCCGTTTGAGGGAACGAGGGCGTCGAGCAAAGGGGGCATGTCATCTTCGTCGTCCTCGTCGCCGTCCTCGTCGTCGACTGCGGCGGCGGCCTCGCCGGAGGCACTAGCCGTGGAATTAGACCTGCCGTACACCTTCGCGTCGGACCACGTTCCCGAAGAAGTCGACATGGCCTTCAGGCGGGCGATGCCGTTCGAGAGACCCCCCCGGTTCCCCCGGCCGCCGCTAGCCCCAGCCGCTGCCTTCTCTTCTCGTTCCCTCCGGCGACGAGAGCGGATGCGGCCGCCGGCGCCGGCGCCGCCACGAGTTGGCGAAGCGCGACGCTTGAGACGGACCCCCGCCTTAGCCCGGAGAGGCAGGAAGCCGTCCGGGTCGAGCAATGTCTGGTTTAGACGCACCAGGTCGACACCGTCTTGCGGCGTGATTTCAAGGCACTGTTGTCCGACGGGAAAAAAGAAAAAAAGCGACAGCAACAACGCGACGGAGTGGCAGCGTACAGTTGCATCTTTCATCATTTTGCCGCTGGAAACCCACGTCTCTTTGATTGATCACCTGGGTGCTAATTAACAAAACAACCACACCGCCGAGGTACTCACAAAGCACATGGGGATTGGTTGCTTCAGCAGTGAACCGGTGAAGGAAGCGAACGGTACACAAACGGGCAAATTAAAGCAAAGGCCAACTATTCCAACAGGAAACCCCTCTTCGATATTCGAATGGGTAGTCTTTCTGTGAATTCCTTAATATTTTTTTGGCTCGTCGGGCGTCGTCGCACGGACACACTTTGTAGTCGGAGCGAAGGTTTTCAGGACGTCTGGGATAGAGTCCGGCCAAGCCACATCGAAAACAAAACAGAGTCTAGTCCAGCCGGATCGAACGAGAGGATCGAAAAAACCGGGCGTCGTAGAGTAGTACCTGGCCACTCCAAGCGCGCGTCGTGTCCCGCACCCACTCCTCCCTTAACGCGATCAGGTCTCGCCGGCCGCATTCGAAGGTCGACTTCGCGAACGCCGACCAAGCCTTCATGCACGCTGACGACTCCTCATTGAGCCGCGCGTGAATCACCCTAAGATACAGGGTGTGGAGTACATACATATGCCGTAACAATCAACAGAGTTTGCCAAAAAACCCATCATCATAAGATGGAGGGGGGTTGCTTCCACACTCGCAAAACGCCAAACGAACAGTCCGGCACCTTTGCTGCCGCTCCCCGACGCAGGCTAAACCACGTCCTCATCCACAAAAAACGTTTCAATAAGCCGCCCTAGACGAGCTGCATTGACATCCCTCCTAAAAAGGAACTCCGCCGAAGAAAACGGCCACCTGATGATTCTGTAGGCGATCAACCTCCACCCCCCCGCAAAAAAAAAAATGTGTGGATTACCGCAAACGATCCCGCGAGCGACGGGTTCGAATAATTCCCTATTATCCATCCATTACAGTACCATGGTACATACATCCCACACATACCTGGAGAGCTGCCTCAGGTCCGACGGTAGCGGCGTCTTCCCGCCGACCTTCTTGTCCCTCGCACCCGCATCCCCGCCCCCCCAAGTCCACGCCACCGCCGCGCCGTCCTCTTCTGCCGGATCGCCCTGGTTACCCGCCGCTCCTCCCCCCCCCCCCTTGGAGGAGCGTCCATCCCCCGCGCCATCAGCAACCTCTTCCGCCGCCGCCGCCGCCGCCGCCGGTAACTTCGGCCATGCTTTCCCCGGCGGCACCGGTCGGGGAGACGGCGGCACCATCCTCGGCGCCGCCTGGGCCGCGGACGGCCTCACTCGAGGCGAGGCCACCGCTCTGATCTCGAGCCTACCTTTCGACGCCCGCGCCGTCGTGAGCAGCGCCGCCTCCATCTCCTCCTCCTCCCCCTCGCTGGGCGACGGCAACGGTATCTCTATCGTCATCATCCCCTGGTCGGAGGCGGCTTCGCCCGGCGCCTCCACGTCCTCGAGCTCCCCGTTCGAGTTCAGGCGCCGGAGCGACGGCTGCGGGGCGTTGTCGCTTGCCGCCGCTGCCCTTGCCGCGGCGGCGGCGGCAGCAGCAGCCTTGTCGTTCCCGCGAGGGCTAGGTGCCGCCGACCCCATCCCATTCGCGCCCCCCCACTTCCATTTGGCGGAAGCAGCCCCGTTTGCCACCGCCGCCGCCGCTCCGCCGCCCTTCTTCCTCTTCCCCTTGCTCTTCCCCTTGCCCCTTCGCCTCGCGGCCACCGCCACCGCCGCCGCCGCCGCCGCCGTGCTCATCTCGGCGGCGTTCGCCGCCGCCGCCGTCTTGGCCACCACCAGGGCGCCCTTCGACCACCTCAGCCCGAGCGCGTGCCTGCTGTACAGCAGCTCGGCGGCCCGGTAGACGGCGCGGACCGTGATGCCCCGGTCGGACTCCGTCGCCACCGGCGGCGGCGCGTACCCCAGCGCGGTGGCCAGCCCCACCGCCAGGGACGCCGCCTCCAGCGCCGCCGCCGAGAGCGGCAGGCGGTACGGCCTGGTGGCGCTCGACTTGGCTCTCCGGCGGTCGGGGGAGGACGATATAAGGCCGAGGGCCGTGCCGGCGCTCATGGACGCCGACCTCCCCTTCCGGACGAACGCCGACCTGCGCAGCCGCCCCGGGGTGATGAACCGCGGCCGCAGCGGGGAAGGGCCCGGCCCCATCAACTCCCTGCCGGACAACGACC